CTTAAGCTAATTTTTAGCTATTTATAGGGGATTAAGGGGTGTAACTAACCCCTAAAATCGCTCCTTAGTGAGGCTTTGATCCCTCAAATCGTGCAAAATGGTTTTAGAACCGTTCAAACACTTTTGAATGAGTCAAATGCAAAATTTACATTATGGAAATGAGCCTCTCGTCTGGCTTATAGAGCATGGAGGTGAGCTCTGCATTTGGAGCTGAGAACGCGGTGGTGAGCTCTGCGTTTGGAGTCTGGAACGCTAGAATGACCTCCGCATTTTGAGTCTAGACCGCGAGAATGACCTTCGCATTTTAAGTTTGGAACGCAGGAATGACCGCTGTGTTTTGTTGTTAAAACGCGGGAATGACCTTCGCATTTGGAATTAGAAATATGAAGGTGGACCTTCACGTTTGGCCTTGAAGGGATCATCAATTGTAATCTCTTTTTTCAAGTTCTGCAAGGATCATCAGTTTGTAATCTTTATGAAGATTTTGGAGCCCACCATATTTCTTCTCTATCTTCACACTGATGAGGATCAGCTATTTATAGTAATTTTTAGATAGCCTACAGAACCCCCTCCAAACTTTTTGAAAGTTCGCAGTTGACTGGAACGAATTTTCAAAATACTTTGGATCTCGATTTTGATCATAGAGCTGTTGATTCCTTATTGAAAAGGAGTTGATCCTTACATCCGCTTTGAAGGCATCTTGGTTGGAGGGATTTTCCACGCAAGACCCGTGTGAGGGTGAGCGACATGCTTTAACTCTCGAAACATGGGGTGAGCCACGTATTTTGGCTTCTGAATTACAGGGTGAGCCTCATATTTTGGCTTCTGAACCGCGGGGTGATCCTTGCATTTTGGCTTCTGAACCGCGAGGTGATCCTCGCATTTTAGCTTTTGAACCGTGGGGTGATCTTCGCGTTTTGGCTTCTAAACCACGGGGTGATCTTTGCATTTTGGCTTCAACCTTAGAGCACTTCAAGACCTTGAGTGCGTTGATCTCGAAGTTCAGACTAAATGGACTTTTGTTGATACTCAAGTTGACATAGCACGTCGACAGGAAGTCGTTCAAAAGAGCTTGGCTGGGAAGGAGGCTTATATTATAGTTTTTTAGGAGTAGCGTGATCAAATACAAGTTGAGTTAACCAATTCCACTACTGCCATGCTTACCACTCAAGAAGCGATCGCTCAAACGAAAGAAACTATTGCTCATCCACAAACGGACTTGGCTCAAAAAGAAGCTCAGTTCGCCCAGGAGGAAGCTGATGTTAAAGAACTCCATCTCAAGAGTACAAAAATCTTCACAGATCATTGCAAGGAGATGCAAACTCTTGAAGAGGTCGAGAAGGAGGTTGTTACAGCACCGAATGAAGGTGAGCTCCAAAGAGAAGCTGCAACGACAGTACAAGTTAATCATGAGGAGAAGTTTTTAGACGTCAAGTCTCTGCTCACATCCATTAAGTTGATAAGCCCGCAAACTTAACCCTCTCTACTGTTCTTTTAATAAGGACAATTTTGTATCACTTTCTAATAAAAAGTGATAATGTTTTGGTTTTTTATCGTTTCTTCCTGTGTTATGCTTTCACTTAAAACATTGAAGGAAAGTTAGAAGTGCCAGATGTTTAGTATTAACTTGGCATGACTTTGTTACAATTTGAGTAACTTTATGGATTTATCTTGGATTGATAAGTTGATTCCGTCAGAGGTGTGATATGAACTTGTCAGGATTTTATTGCGATTTGAGCAACTTTATGGACCTATCATCCTATTGAAGAGGATTTACAAGTTGATTCCGTCAGAGATGTGATATGAACTTGAACTTTATGGACTTATCATCCTATTTAAGAGGATTAATAAGTTGATTGTGTCAGAGGTATGATATTTATAACTTGACAGAAGTTTGTTACGATTTGAGAAACATTATGGACTTATCTTCCTATTAAAGAGGATTGATAAGTTGATTGTGTCAGAGATGTGATATTAACTTGATAGAAGTTTATTGCGATGTGAGCAAATTTGTGAACTTATCATCCTATTGAAGAGGATTGATAAGTTGATTTGGTCGTCAAAGATACATTGTTAACTTGATGAGGTTGTGTTGTGATTTAAGCAATTTTATGGACCTATCGCTCTATTAGGGAGAGTCGATAAGTTGATTTTATCAGAGAAGCGATATGAGCCGAACAAAATTAGGTACTTGTGATTTGATTAAAATTTTGAGGACCTATCACTCTATTAAAGAGAGTTGATAAGTTAATTTTGTCAGTGAAGATATATGAGCTAGACAAAATCAGGTACTTGTGATTTGATTAAGTTTTTGAGGACCTATCGCTCTATTAAAGAGAGTCGATAAGTTAATATTGTCAGAGGAGTGATATGAGCTAGACAAAATTAGGTACTTATGATTTGAACAAGTTTTTTGAGGACTTAGTATCTCACTGAGGAAGATTGATGATTGATTTAGTCAGAGGTATAGTATTAACTTGACGAGAATTTAAGGACTTATCACCCTATTGATGAGCATTGATAAGTTAATTGTAATTTAAGTAATTTTGAGGACTTATCATCCTATTAATGAGGATTGATAAGTTGATTGTGATTTGAGAAATTTCAAGGACTTATCATCCTGTTGATGGGGATTGATAAGTTGATTGTGATTTTAGCAATTTTGAGGACTTATCATCCTATTGATAAGGATTGATAAGTTGATTACGATTTGAGCAATTTTGAGGACTTATCATCCTATTGATAAGGATTGATAAGTTGATTGTGATTTGAGCAATTTTAAGGACTTATCATCCTATTGATGAGGATTGATAAGTTAATTGCTATTTGAGCTACTTTGAGGACTTATCATCCTATTCATGAGGATTGATAAGTTGATTCTGATTTGAGTAATTTCGAGGACTTATCATCCTATTAATAAGGATTGATAACTTGATTACGATTTAATTAATTTTGAGGACCTATCATCCTATTGATAAGGATTGATAACTTGATTTGGTGGTGATGCACGCTAAAGTGCTTATACTATCAAAGATGTTTTGTTAAGTTGACAATTTTGAGAGTTCGTTATTCTTTTTTAGAAATAACAAATAATCAACCCCTCATATTGACTAAGACTTAACAGGGGAATAAGGGAGCTTGATGATTTTCTTGAGAAATTTCCTATTAATTAGCATCATGAGCTTATCATCCTTTTCGATTAATGAAACAGCAAGCTCAATCTAGTAGACTGACTCTACCATGAAGGGTCTTTCTCATTTGGAATTGATTCCATTGGGAAAGGTTTTTACAGTTGACAAAGATATTTTGTTGAACATGACAACTCAGAAGATACAAATCCCACTCCGTCTTAGGAGAATCTGGTGCTAAATGGTCAGCTAAGAAATTTGTCAGGGCTTGTCCTTTAATAGCCTTTTGAGGCATAAATCGCATCTCATGTTGTGATCATAGTATGACCCATTTTGTGAGACAACAATTCAACGAAGATAGTCTCATTATGAGCATCCAAGCGAATAATAAGGTTAGGCATTCTTTCTCCTGGCTTTCCATTATATACTTGTCCATCGCGGGTCATCAAGTAGATTGGGATGGATCCACATTATGTCTCCTTTCAGAGTAGCAAGGGGTACCAGCCTTTTATCTCTCTGAACATGTGGGTCAAAGTTTATCAGGCGTAGCTCCCTTTTAGAGATCAGGATCACACCTATTGGAGCTTGAACTAGTGGAAGACTCACGAGTTAGACTAACACCATGTTGGTGGTCGCTGTTTTCTATCTCGGTTTTAGCTTTGAACCTGGTAATAATTTCTTTAGCCTTTTCACCTTGGGAGGCAAATTGCTTCCAAGAATGGCATTCCGCAACCTCTATTTGGGCTAAGAGGTTGGTTTGTAAATTACGTCGATAGGTTTTCACTAGTGCAGACTGCATCATACCTTTCGGACATCAAAGAGCCATGCTTCGGAACCTTTCGATGAATGCTTTGATGGGCTCTCCCTCCTTATGCTTAGTGGCAAGTAGGGTAGTGACAGAGACTTCTGTGTCGTCTTTAAAGAATCTTAACTGGAAGAGTCTCTTTAGATCCTCCCTCTTCTGAATACATCCGGTATGCAATTTCATGAACAATTCAAAGGCAACCCCCTTGAGGGTGCCAATGAACAAGCGAGTCAGTATGGCG